CAGCCTTCCTGCTCCTTTGATGCTGCTTGGCCTGCTGTGTTCATCCAACTGTACACCTTGTTATTTTAATTTGACAGTTTACTTCATGGAATGTGGCCAGTGCTCGCTGGGCCAGCATTTATTATCCATTCCTGGTTGCCCTTGAGAAGGTGAAGTTGAGTTGCCTCCTTGTGCTGCTGTAGTCCATGTAGTGTAGGTGTATACACAGTGTTGTTAGGGAGGATTTTCAGGATTTTGGTGGATGGATATCAATCAAGTGGGCTGCTTTGTCCTGAATTGGTCGAGCTTCTTTGGTGTAATTGGAGCTGCACTCAGAGTCATAGAGGATGGTTCTGACCCATCGACCTCTGGGTTATGGGCTCAACACGCTCCTCCTGTGCCACTTTGATAGTATTCCGTCACATTCCTGGCTTGTACCTTGTTAAATGGCAGCCAGGCTCTGGACAGTTTGGAAGTCGGTAATCGCAGTAGAATTCCCAGCTTGTTACCTGCTGTTGTAGTCACAGTATTGACATGTGTCAATACTGGTCAACAGTAACCCTTAGGATGTTGATAGTAGGATATTTGGTGTTGGCATTGCCTTTGCCCATGTCAAATGGCATTGGCTGGATTCGTTCTTGTTGGTGGTGGAGATTGCTTGGCATTTATTGGAGATGGCTATAATGTCACAAGAGAAAATCTGTCACCCCTTGATGTTCAGTGGCATTACTATCATTAATCCCCCACTGTCAACATCAGCTGCTCGTCAGTTTGGAAAGAATGAAAGCAGATCTGTAAATGTGCCAGGATTGTGTCAGGTCCTGATGCCATTGACCCTATAGGAGAGTGGGAGAGGATTTCATTTTGTTGATCTGCCTTTGATGTAAGTTGATGTTCCAGAGGTGTTGCAACAGGGACACTCACTGCTGTTTCAGTGCTTCCTGTTAGAGGCAGAGCAGGCTGCTTCTACTCCAGTGTGTTTGTTGGCCAGGCTCAAGCTGCTGAGTTAATGTTCTGAGTCTTGATAGACAAGAGGGATTCTTTTGAGAGAGATGCTTTCTGCATAGTGTTGGTGCACACTGGGTTTTCATGAAGGAGCCATTATCTGTGAGAATTTGAGAACATATCCTGTGAGCTTGTAGACTTGCTTCAGATTGGGTCTTCATTAGGCAGACCTGGCCCTCGACACTCTGGAGAATTGTAACTATGGATAATACAATTGTTAATCATCTAATTGGGAACATTGACTGCAGCAAGGGCGAGGTAGGAGAGTTGCAACACTTTGCCTAGTTACAGAAGGCAGACAAAAGAAAACCCTGCCACAGATGTTAAGACAGTGCATCGCACTACTGGGCATTCATGGATGGTGAGACTTTGTACAGAATGAGGGTAGGGCTTGTATTTTGATAACTTGCTTCCCACGTGAAGGGTCTCGACCCGAAACGTCAGCTTTCCTGCTCCTCTGATGCTGCTTGGCCTTGTGTTCATCCAGCTCTACACTTTGTTTTCTCAGATTCTCGAGCATCGGCAGTTTCTACTATCTCTGTCAAATTAAAATACTCTTTTTTTAAAAAGATACAAGGAAATGACGAGACCTGAGCTACCAGCATGTAACAGTTAAAGACCGGATAAACGTTCCTGCTAATCTTCAGAAAGCACTGTTGTTTCCACTGTTTGAGTTTCATTGATTTTAATCTCAGTTGCAAAGTGTTTGAGGTTGAACTCACATTCACTCAGTAAAGGTGATCACAAACGATGAAACAATGGTGCTATCCATTCTTTAACATTAACCATGTTGTGGAGATGGCGCAAAATATTCCATATTGCAAGATGAAAAATCAAATAAATAATTGGCACACACAGAAGTTGAAAACAGCAATTATAGTAGTTCAGAGAAAATGGAGATCGAATACTGTAAGGAGATTATAAATGTATAACATTAGTTAGCAGGAGGACTGAAAAGAGTGCACACATGCCCTTGGCTCCAACCATCTGCCAGTATGCTCATTCACATTTTCTCCCAGACCGGGGCTCATACTATCAAAATACCCCAAAGTGATCCCGAGAGACAGGGTAACAGTCCCAAGCCCTTTCAAGTGAGGAGTACTGAACGTACAGGCTCTACCTACAAACAGACCCAGCAGGAAGCCCACGTCACAGGGACCATATTTGAGAACCTCTATGATTTTATACTTTCCCAACTTCATGTACGATAACTAATCTTTGGGAAGAATCTTTCATTGACTAATTGGTTAGTCTACCAAACAGGCTTCTTACAGAGATGTGAAAGCAGTTAATATTGATTTGACCACAATAAAATAGAATTCTTTCAGAACCCAGAATATGAGTAACCTGAGATAGGATGTGTGGTGAGTATTTGGGAGGGAGAGGTGACTTTGATGCTATTTCACAAAACTCACCTTGCTTCCAATCGGGCTTTATTTGGGACTAACTGATAAAAGATGGATTGTCGAGATTATTCAACAGCACTTATGTAATATCACATTACTCCTTTTCGTTTTACACTCATTTTTGTCCCTACGTACTTTAACAGCATTCCTAAAGGTAGGCAAGTTCAGTTTCTCCTTTACTCAGTCTCACAGAGAAAGTGATTCAGTGCAGGGTGTGTACAATAAACGAGGTATGACTAGATGATACAGAAATGTCATAATCACTAGTGTATTTTGAGACTGTAAACTACAGCATTGAGAAAGAATAAAAACAAGGATTTGGAAACATATCCTGTTAGGAGAGAGCTTTATCCCAAACTAGCTAGAAAATCATGACCTAATTTTGTGAGATGTTATATGATTTTAGGAACCACACATGGTTTGGGGCATCAATGACCAGCAAACAAGCCTCTCCATGAGGCGCACAACTTGGGAATCTATCCAGACCTTGGATCAAATAAGCAATGAACACTAAACAAAAACCTGTAGATGCTGTAAATCAGGAACAAAAATACAAGTTGCTGGAAAATCTCAGCAGGTCCGGCAGCATCTGTGAAGAAAAATCAGAGTTAACATTTCATTCTTGTTCTGAGGAAGGGTCACGGGACCAGAAACGTTAACTCTTTTTTCTTCACAGATGCTGACAGACCTGCTGAGATCTTCCAGCAACTTCTGCTTTGATTAGTGAGCATTGTACACTGCATGTTCCACCCCGCTGCGGGAGACAGTGCTGGGTCTGCCAAATATGGTTGCCATTTTGGGCTCATTCTTTTGTTTCATCTCTGCCCACCCAAAGGCACCACTCCCACCTGTTGAATACTGAGCGATGGACAGCACTCAATCCCAAGTCATAAAGCTGCCCATTCAAATACCACACCAGAGACTGGAGTTCAATTTTCTGGGCTTGGTAACCATATCTTCATAAGTGTTGCCATTCATACTGGACAGAAAACCAAGGTCCTGAACGCCCTCTTAGGCGGATGGAGAAGATTCATGTGGAGGACAAGCAGCAGGAGTTCGCCCCACTGTCATCGGATGAAAACCTAACCCTTAACCAACATCTAAATGAAGACAACCTGGTGATTTTTGCCATTTGTGGGGCTTGTTTTGATTTGTTATCGTCACATGTACCGAGACACAGTGAAAAGGATTGTTTTGCGTGCTTATCCTGGCAAATCATGCCTTACATAAGTACATCAGAGTCATAGAACAGAATGCAGAGTATAGTGTTACAGCTACAGAGAAGGTGCAGAGAAAGATCAACTCTAATATACGAGAGGTCTGTTCATAAGTCTGATGACAGCAGGGAAGAAGCTGTTCTTGAATCTGTTGATACGTATTTTAAAACTTTTATATCTTCTGTCCAATAGAAAAGGGGGGAAAAGAGAGTGGGAGGGCGGGAGGGGTCTGTGATTATGTTGGCCGCTTTCATGAGGCAACAGGCATATAGATGGAATCAATGGAAGGAAGGCTGGTTATGGTAACGGACTGGGCTGAGTTCACAACTGTCTGCAACGCTATGCTCATATTAGTTGTCCCCTATGTCCCAGTACTGTGTAAAGTATATGACTATATGAATGGCCACACTTTGTGCAGTGGCCTGGACAGTGAGCTACCCCTAGACAGGCTGACACGGTGAGCAATGGTACTGAAGACAGATTCTGTCCACAACTGCTGTCTTACACACTCAGTCCTTTGACAGAATCCAGGAGCATTACCCCATGTCCCCAGTAGGATTCTTACTCTCCCTCTGAGCAGACCTGTACAGGCTGTATCGGCAGTGCCTGGCAATCGAGTCTGTCATTAGTTGGGCTGTGAGCTACCTGACAGTTCCATCGCCAACACAGTGCAAGGTAACAATCTCAGCCCACCACCAAACTCTGGAATACTACACAGAACAGCCATTTGGTGGGCCACCTCCTGCCAAGAATATTGAGGGATGGATACGAAGCAGAAACACTCCATGGTAAGGATACAATTATCTGCCTCCATAATGCGTGGGACTGAGAGGCTGCATGAATACACATCCCCTTTAAGAATGAAAGCAGGTCCTGACAAAGTAGCATTATAACCGAGCTGCGAACTCAGCGGATGAGTGGGCTTTGTTGCGGGGTTGCCTTGGAAACCCCGAACAGTTTACAGCATTAACAACTGCTGCAGACAGCAGCTAACTCCTTCATGTCTCCACCTGTCTTCAATGCAGGCAGAGAAATTACCAGGAAAGGGATGAAAGACCAAGCAGGCTTATGATTATGACGGGTTCCACGAACTAATCCTTCATTGTTGACGCAGGCAAAAAACAGAAAAACCCCGAAAGATGAAATGAGGAGCAAGGAAAGAGAGTTTCAAAATGCATGGCAGCATCAAGCAGCATTTCAATATCTCAACTGACTGAGAGACAATTCACTGACAGTCAGCTTGCAGCGGGGGTGGAAGGAAGGGAACAGTTAAAGGACCCTATCTCAGTCCCTATAGAATCATCAGGGCAAACAGAAACGGAAGCCAGTTAATTAGACAGGGTGAAACTGCAAGCAGCCAGCACACTCAATACAGAAACAGAATTTTTTGGAGAAACTCAGCAGGTCTAGCAGCATCTGTGTGGAGAAAACAGACCTAACATTTTAAGTCCAGTGACTGTTCATCAGAACTGACAACTACTCACAGCACACCAACTATGTAATCCAGCATACATAACCATCTTGTACAGAGCAGGGGAGAAATTGTACACTGCAGTCCTGTCATTCAAGAACAGTGTAGTGGGTCGTGCAGGGGCCCAGGGATCAGCCCCCCAGAAATCAAGGCACATACAGGGCCAGTGGGGATCAGTCTTTCAAAGATGGGAAAATGGCCTCTTATGCTGGACGGCTGTATGAAAGACAACTGGCTTCATACATGTGATCTCGATTTGATTGAAAGCAGCCTCTGAAGAGGTCTGATAAACTGCTCAGTGTGAAAGCATTTACACATCACTGGCTCAGGGACAGCCTCAACCATCTTGGCCACAACTCAAAAAACACTCTCTTTATTGCTGCATTTGTGGTCCATCCTAAACTTCCCTTGAATTGAGGTACTTGCTTGGCCATTTCAGACAGCAGTTTAGAGCTAACCATGTCGCTGTGGGTCTGGAGTCACATATAGGCCAGACTAGATAAGGATGGCAGATTTCCTTCCCTACAGGAACATCAGCAAACCCAGGTGGGTTTTTGTGACAATCGATGATTTTCATGCATGGTACCACGACTCTGAAACTAGCTTTTCATTCCAGATTTTATGAATGGAACTCATGTCCCACCAGCTGCTGTGTCTCCAGAGCACTAGCCTGGTCCTCTGACAGTTAGCTTGGCTTGGGGGTGAAAGGTGACATTCCCACTACGCCATTGTTTCTTTCGTAAAAATTGTCACATCACAGGGGCTGTCAGAAAGATAAGGAGCAAGAAGGTGGCTAAATAAACAGGTAGTCAGGAAAGTTAATAGCCAAAGGAACTTGACAGCAGGAAGGAGACAAGGTGGGCTGGAGCTAGACAGGGAGAAACTTGGGCAAAGGTTTTGAGAGGGTGAGATTGCAGAGAGTTTGAGAAAAGCCAGTAATGTTCCAGCAAAAGGCATGCTGACATTTGGCTGCAAGTGTTTTAAGAGGCTGAGATTTTCAGGCTGAACACAACCAAACACAGGAAATATTCAGCAGTATTAGAATTGAAAAGGTTCATACCGAACCTTAACAATTTCCTTTGGTCTGTCCCAGCAGCAGTGACACCATCTGGATGCAGGCACCGTCAAAGAGCCATTGCTTGCAGGGCTCTGCCACCGTTCAGCCTTGACAGAATGACATGGGGGCTCTGTAAACCAGTGACAGCGTTCCCACTCTGTACAGAGCAATGTTTGTTAACTCTATAATACAAACAGTCACTCAGAAAGACATCACATGGGTTTTGGTGTAAAAAGACAATGAGACAAAACTTTCCATCTTACATACATCAGGACAATGTGCAAGGATACCATATCTGGGCTACTGCACAACAGGACAGTGCTGACTGGCTGGCAAATGGACTCTGATTGGTAACGGCACTGCCATGGAGAATGCGCCATTATGGCTAAGCGAATATGGGTTAGCCAACTTGGTGCATCAGTTTCTGATGTTGTGGGCTGGCACTTCACACACACCACTAAAAGTAGACAGCATTGTGGGGGGCATCAGGGAGCAAGGGTGAGAGGCCATCGGGGAACCAGGGAGGGAGAGGGTGTCGGGGAGCGAGGGTGGAGGGCTTTGGGGAGTGAGGGTATCAGGGGTGCAGAGAAAGGGGGAGAGGAAGAGGGAATTGGGGATTGAGAGGGCATCAGGGAGCAAGGTGCGGGAGGTGCATGTGCAGAGGGGCACAGGCAGAAGTAGAGTGAGCTCAGCCCCTATCATCTCCCTTCCCTAGTGGTCAGACCTGGGTCTTTCAGCTCTGCTTCTGAACCAAAATCAACAACAACAAAAAGAATTTTATTAATTAGCTCTGCACCTTAGCACTTTTACTGGCCTTTTAATTGATTTCAAAAATAAATCAATTGCTGGGGACTTTTCTCCTGAAATTCACGCTTGCTGCGTCCCAAACCTGAACGTTGTGAAATTTTTTCATTGTCCCTTTGAGTGAGAGAAGCTTTGAAATACGGCCCATGCCTGAAGGTTGTACAAGGCTGTTTTACGTGGTACGAACAGACTGCAACAACACTAGACTGAGGGGCTGCTTGTTAGAGTGCAGCCAGTCAAACCTGAAAATTAATCACTGACCACACGCTCTTAGCCCAGGTCCTCGGGGCAGTCTCAACCTTGGTCCACCAGTTTAAACAGCTTTAATAACAGTTAGTTTCTCAGCAGGGCAAAGATTTTATTCAGTAAAAACCTCTGCTGAGTCTGTCTCTGTTCCCAAGGCAATAACAAGCTCATTTACATTGGATGCCAGAACAGAAAACTCGACAGATTTCAGGTCGACAGTTCAGCTCCCACTGACTGCATAGCAACCAGCACAAGGAGCTGATGGGGTGCAGACTGACAGGCAGCCAGCTCAGAGTCTCTGCCCAACCCAACATCAGCAGTATCACTCACGCCAACACGGGCTCACTGTTCACCCGGGCTGGAGACAGCTGCAGCAGCAACAGGCAATACTCAGCAGTCACTGCCTTCCCAGATCCTCACTCCATGCACTGCACTTCCCTGTAGGTCAAAGCAGAGACCAGACTCCAAACCAAAAGATAGGATGAAAAACCCCTCTCACTCCTGTCCCCAGCTGATAGAAAATGAAACTTGGGTCTTACCTTTTGCAGACTGGAAGAGTTCAGCTGAGTTTTATCAATTATTTTAACAGCAACCTGCAGCAACGAGAAAGATACTGTTAATTCCAAATTGGAGACTCCACCTTTCACACAATTCAATTGGGAAATCCCCCAACACGCTTTGGAATCAACCCCATTCCACATTCCAATCAGGAATACAACCACCCTCTTTCGCTTCAATCTGGATTCTCGCCTTCCTACAATACTACTAGGAATTTCCACACCTGCTTCCAAAGCAAAGTTCGGGAAAACCAACTCCACCCCACTGTCTCCAACAGGGACGCACTCTGCACCACCTTCCCGACCCCGGACCTCGTCCCTGACCCCCACAACCGACCCTGCACCTCGTCTCCGACCCCGAACCTCCACCCCGACGCCAAAAACTCCGACCCAGAACCTCCTCCCCGACCCCCACAACCCGACCCAAAACCTCCCCCCCGACCCCCACAACCTGACCCAAAACCTCCCCCACAATACGACACAGAACATCCGCCCCAACCCCCACAATACGACCGAAAACAACCTCCCCCAACAATCTAACTCAGAACGATCTCCACCCCTCACACACACACACACACACACACACACACACACACCAATCCAGAACGTCCTCTCCAGCCCCACAATTCGATACAGAGCTGCCCCCTCCCCATGACCCAATCCAGGACCACCTCCACCCCACAATCCGATCCAGGACTTTCACTCCCTCCCAAAGCTCTGACCAGGGACTTCTCCTTCCTCCCTAGTTTCCGACCAGGAATCTCGGGAAACCATCTCCTTCCTACACTCCAAATGGGATTTCTACGCCCTTCCACAATTCAGTTTGGAATCACCACTTACTCCCAACACGCTGATTGGGAACCCACTTCGTCCCATACTCTGGTTAGGAATTTCCACCTTCTCATCAGGAATTTTCACCCCCTCTCCCTCCGACACTCTGGGCTGGAAGCCCCCACCCCTCTGGGTGCTCTGATTGGAAATCAGCCCACAATCCTGATGATCCCCTGAAATCCCCTCTCATCTCAATGTGCTGTTCAGAAACCCTCACGCTCACCTCCAACTTCCCAGTGTTTTGATTGGGAATTGGCTCCACATCCTGATCACAAACACTTCCGTCTCTCCCAAGACTCCACTCTGAAATGCATCTCTGTGCTCCTCCTCTCAATGCGCTGATGGGAAATCCTCCCTGTCTCAGCCATTATTCAAATCGAGAATCGCCCTACAACACTCATCGCCAACAACTCTTTCCTCATCCGAAATCGCACCTGGAACCACTTTTTCTCTCTTCCACTCCTCTGATGTGCTAACCATAAATCCCCCAACTCTTTCCCAGTGTGCTGCTTGGGAATTCCTCAACTCTCCCTTACTCTGAACTGGGATTGTCCCTCTCTCTCGCTCCCTGACTCCCTTCCCCTTCTTTACAAGTGTTCCGAGCAGGAACTCTTGCTCTCTCCCGGAGCTCAGAAATGGAGTCCCCTCTGCAAGCACTCAGTAGAAAGCCAATGCTCTTCAATGTGTCATTGGAGGCAGTTTTCAGCTCAGCAGGAACAGTAACCCACAGGAATCAGCAGCAGGGGGTCAAGGAGGCACACTAGAGATCTACAAAAATATGTCTGCCTTTGGTGTATAATGTCCCTTAAGTGGTTGGCAGCACTTGGAATAAATAGTGTTTACATACGTTCTGAATGAGCATTATAAATTATGGGGAAAAATGTTGTGTCATGTGTCTAAGGCACCTCTTCCAACAGCAACTCCTGGTGCATTCTGGATGGTATATGCTGCTTCTCTGAATCATCACTGACCCAGCCAGCTCAATGACCAAGTGCCAATGTAATAACTCCAACCCAGAGAAAGCCAGGAAGGAGCTGGAAGTGCGAGCAGAGCAAAAACCAGTCCACAACAAACGCCTTCCCCTTGCAATGGTTGCGAAGAGGGTGGGTTTTTGACTTGGAGCTCTGAGGCCTAAGAAATGGAATATCAGAGACTGGTGAGGGATAAATACTGGCCAGAGCATAATGGGAATGATCCATCCTTCTTGCAACACTAGCTCCGGAATTCTCAATCTTACAGGACAAGTGGGGAATGATAATTTCAGCACCCGGAAGAAACCCATGCAGACGCGGGGAGAATGCACAAACGCCGCACAGACAGTCACCCAAGCATGGATTCGAACCCAGGTCCCTGGTGCTGTCAGGCAGCAGTGCTAACCACTGAGCCACCCCGCCGAGGCGAGAGGGAGAGGTTGGGGTGACAGATAAAGAGACGGCAAGGCTAAGGGTTTTTTGGGGGGGTGGGGTTTTAGAGAGGGTGAGAGCGCGGGCGAGTGCAGGGGTAAGAGACACCATATGTGAAAGAAAATGGGGGAAAGGGAGAGAGGCGCAGGTTTGGGGGATTTGCACAATGGCAGGACATAGAGGTATGTCTTGTCACTTACCTCCTTGCCAGTGAGAACGTGTCGTGCCAGCTTGACCTTGGCAAAATTGCCTTTGCCAATAGTTTTGAGCAGCCGGTAGTTCCCAATGTGCGGAGTATCCTCGGTGGTGGTGGCAATGGAGTTGCGACATCGCGGCATGCTGGACCTGCTGCTCGACTTTGACTGGAGCGGAGGGTCTGGGTGACCTCCTGTGTGCTGCAGAAAACACAAGGCAATCAGTCGTGTGCACAATACAGGAAAAACCAAAACAGGAACACATCGGGGAAAACAGGGATATTACTGTGGCTACAAAGCGACTGAGCACAGTAGTGTTCTCAGGATAAACAGAGAGCCTCTGCTCAAGATAAAGTAAGTATAAGCTTCTTAATAAAAATTGGGGAACCGTCTGAGTGCAGGGTGACAGATAAGGAAAAGAATGGACTCTATCTCCTGGGAGTAATTTCTAACCTTGAACTTTACATTATTAATTTCTAACTGGAAAGGCTGTTGAAGAAGCCGGGACACAGTTGGAGGTATCGAGAAGTTAGACTGGCGTATTGTGGGGCACGTGGTGGTGGTACAGAATTACTATTAGCTAGCTGATCAAATGGCATAAGAGGTTCAAAGTGTTAAATGGCCTCCTCCTGTTCCTGTCTAATATGCTCCAGGAGGGCTGAATGGTCTCCTACTGTCCAGTGCAAAGGGATCAAGGAACTAAGTGGCCTCCTCTTGTTCCTATCTAACAGGCTTGAGGGGCTGAATGGCCATCCTATTTCCAGTGAAGACTCAGGGCAGTGGCACTGGAGCAGGAAGGTGATGGAGGTGGCATCAGACCTGGCCCTGTCTCACTCATCACATTACATAGAGGTGGGCCGTGTGGGGCAAGATCCAGGGTACAGGGTGAGGGCACATGGCGAAGTGCAGGGTGGGGTGCGGACTGAGGTACAGTGTGGGGTAAGATGCAGAGCAGTGTAGGGGTGGTGTGCGGCGCAAGGGTGGGGTGCAGGCTGAGGTACGGGGTGGAGTGAGAGATGGGGTGCAGACCAATGCAATGTTGGGGTGCCATACATAGTGGGGTGGGGTTGAGTCTGGGCTGGATTGCAGAACAGTGTGGGATGAGATGCAGGGCTGGACTGAAGTGCAGGGTTGTGGTGGGGTGCACAGCACTGCAGGGTGGGGTGCAGTGCAGCGCTGGATAGCCGGTGTGGGGTGAGGTGCAGGGTGCAGGCTGGGGTGCACAGCAGTGCAGGATGGGGCGTGGTGCCGTGTAACCTGAGGTTCAGGGTGGGATATAACAGAAGACTCAAAGAAGCCACTTTCCTCCAAGTACTCATTATCTATGGAGGAAGCCTGGGTAAGGAAGATCAGCCGCCCATACTCTTAGTCTTGCCTCTTCGGCATAGCTGGCAAGTGGCAGGGAGTAAACATGACAGCTTACTCCAGTCAATAAAACAACAGAAGACCTGGCCATGCTGCTAAGAACCGCTGTAAATATCAGCGAAACAACCCCACAAGCCAGACAGATGGTGGTGGTGAGCGTTCCCAAAGCAACCAGACCAAACTTCTGATTAATTTACAAGAAGTCATACATCTCCTTCATCACGAAATGTAACAGCCTTTTTTAATATTTACTTTCTTCACTTTAACTGATTAAAAATCACCCATCAAGGATTCACTTTGCCTTTCTTTTTCTCAATGGAAAGGAGTCTTGTGGGTAACTGTAGAACGCGCATATCATGAAGCTACAGGCCATAACACAGGACTCTCCATCTGGTACACAGCCCAATCCAAGACAGAGCTTACAGGGAATCTGAGTAATGTGGCCCCAATCTCTCCTCCTTTCTCAGCCGCTGCCAGCTCTTTGCAAGATCTGCCCAGTTGGCCTCACACCCCCCCGCCCCAGCTCCTCAACACCCCACAGCCCTGATAATTTCTCCTCTTTAAGGACGCTCCATCTACCACCTCTGCTGTCCCCACACCCCAACAATTGTAATGGCTCAAGAGGCTGCTTCATTCCCCAGGGCAATTAGGGATCCGCAATAAATTCTTGTCAGCGACACTCACATCCACGAATGAATAAAAAAAATCCCACAGTCACTACTTATACTTGCTCTACATTCTAACAGTGACTATATTTCCACAACATTTCACTGGTAGTCAAGGCCCTCTGGGATGTTCTGAGCAATGGGGTTCATACAGGGAATTGTGAACTCATTATGAAGCCCTCACCAGCATGTGATCAAATAGACTGCCATCTTTCACACTGTCTAGTCTCGAAAGGTGCAGACGGGTCTTGGGTCCAGTTATACCTGTGGGTCAGTCCCTGGTGGAGGGTGGGGGAAGGGGCCCGCACAGAAAAGAGGTCTGAAGAATCCATGTTCTCACACAATGCCTACCAGGACAGAGATAACTCCGCCTGGGTAGGCTCTGTCCACAACCATTCCATCTCTCGGAGCTCACGCAACAATCTCTTATTCCAAAATGAAAGGCCGAGTGAAGGAAATGGATGGTCTGGGCCTTTCCGAGAGAAGCAGGACCTGTATTGAGCACATACACAAGGTAATGCGACTTCCTTTCTGCTCATTTAAAACACATCACATCAATCCCCATCGAACATCCTTCATATAATCGATTACAAGTTCTCACCAGAGAGAAAATGAATAGATATCTCCCACTAAACTCCCAGGCGACAGCACAGAGGGAACTTGCAGCTTCAAAGCACAGAAATAAAAGCTACTTCTGCCTCCAGGCTGCGAGTCTTTAAAAAATACATCAGCTGAACTGGTGAAAGACTCAACTGAAGAAGTGCGGAGGTGCAGGCTCAGACTGGTGATGTTCATTAGTTGGGCTGCTTGTGTTGAGCGATTGGACAATCTGAGCCTGGGCTTATTCGAATATTCAGACCCAGCTGAGGGAACAACACTTGCACACCCCTGCAACAGACAGCTCTCCAAAACCCTTCTGAACTCTGTGAAAAGCCCATTCTGGGCCCCAGTTAAGGTCCTGTACCACAAGTCGGTCAGTTCCCAGTTTCACCTCCCTCCACTACCCCAAGACTGTTAGAGACAGGGTCTCTTTTCCAGTGTGAACCAATGGGGACAGCATGGCACTTCCCTAGGGAAAAGGCTGAGTATGGCACTGAGCTGCTTCAGGCACAGCACTGCACTGCACCCACTCACCCAGGATCGCACCAAGCCCACTGTTGGAGAGAAGTGCTGACAAGCATGGAGCACCCTCGCACAGCTCTGGTCACCTAGCCTTAAAGCAGGGAGTTATGCCCGTACACATTTTCTCTCAGGCAAGCCACACCTGTTATTGCATACCTCAAGAAGAAAGAGAAGTGAGTGCCTGGGGGTCAGGGGGAAACCTTTCCCTTACCCTACCCTAAGGTCCTGCCTTTAATCATTTCCCTCTGAACTCCAATTTACTCTGCGGGTAACTGGGAGGAGAAATCAAAGGATTCATTGTTTTGCCCAGGCCAGGCCTTCCCACAGGGGAACAAAGCCCCAGTACACAGTGTATTATGGTTGGAGCGGAGCCAGTGCCCAAGCACCATGCTTCAGAATGTTAACTAAGAACAAACAGGCACTGGCTGTGTGAGCTGCTTAGCTTAACCCTTTAATGTCCTAGTCAGTTCTCCATCTGCCCTTCTTCTTGCTTTCCCAGGGTCAGAACAAGCCTAACATTGCTCACCCGGCCTACCACAGCACAGACATTATATAAAGGACCTTTACAGCTGTGATTTGCCCCAACCCATAACACGTTGAGTTCTCAACCTCTGAGACCATTGGCACAGCTCAATGAGCAATCCAACAACCTCACTAATCTCCCCTCTATCCCAAACACAGCTGTGTTCCTAATACAAGGAGCCTGCCTTTCAGGAGGTAACTTCACGGGGCCTCTTCAGGAACTTTCCTGGCTCAGTGTACAAAACAGCACTCCCACCCTCCCCAGCAATCAACACCAGCTCACACTGCCGGAGGGTCAGCGCCACACTATTGAACTTGCCATCTGGAGTGAACCACCTTAGTCATCATCACATACCCAAGTTATTAAGACAGGTCTGGATACCCCATGGGTAATATTCTTCATGTTCAGATGCTGAACCATGCAGGCTCTGTCCTTTAGTTTGTGTGTGTCAGCTCATCACAAAGGTGCACCAGATGGACTCAGGGCCACCCCCATGCAAACAGGGGTTTATAATTAGCTTTAATGATAGTCTGGACTCAAAAGGAATAAATGATAAAGCTGACCGTCAAAAAACATCATCCAGCAAGAGCCAACATCTAGCATTCAGCTTTGTATCTTTATAACCTTCCACATGATGATCAATGTGTTTGAAAAGGTAATTATCTTTCACTGGACGGTCAGGGAACAGGCTGTCAATCAGTTAGAGACTGACAGAAGGACACAGTGATTGCGCCAGATTAGGTTGACTAGAGGACAGGGAGGAGGCAAGACCATGGATAGGAGACAGCACGAGAGCACGCGAGGAGCGGGTGGAGAAACCAAGAGGTGGGATGGGTAGAAGAGGGACAGAGATGGAGATAGAGAGAGGGGGAGGGGGAGGGGGAGGGGG